GAACCGACTCCACGGCACATAACAACAGCAACAAATATGACCTATATTCCTATTTTAACTCTTTAAAAGATTACCTTGTTAATTGACTTTTCTTAGCAGATTATTTACTTTGATATAGTGATTTTGAAAATTCTTTAACAGAATTACTTTAATTAAAGTGGAAATTATTAATAGTATAGGATCTGTGATGTACAGTAATGTTTTGTGAAGACTTGCTTCACATTTTCAGCTGTAATTGACTCTTTATTTGTAGGTTGACTATAGCAGATTTGATTTCAAATTACTTTTGATAGTGCTGTTTGTTCAGCTTCATAATCAATGGTGAAGAAATTGAAGTTGTCAAGGATTTCATTCTCCTTGAATCAAGAATTATTGCCCATTGAAACAGGAGTCAAGAAGTTAAATGCAGTATTACACTGGAAAAATTTACTGCAGAAGACCTCCTTAAAATGTTAAAAAGCAAAGATAACACTTTGATGACCTACTTGCACTGAAGCAAGCAAGCATGTCTTTTAATCACCTCATATGCTTTCAGCATAGAGGTTACTAACTGGGCTGCTAACCTAAAGATCAGCAGTTTGAAACTATTGGCCATTTCATGGGAGAAAGATGAGGCTCTCTGCTCCCATAACGATTTACAGCCTCGGACACCCTACGCAGGGTTGCTGTCAGCCGGAACTGATTCCAGGCACACCACCACCACCACCATGCATGTAAAAGCTGGACAATGGAAAAGGCTGACAGAAGAATTGAGCATTTGAATTGTGGTATTTGGGAAGAATATTGATTGTACCATGGACTGCCAGAAGAACAAATAAATCAGTTTTGAAGGAAGTACAGCCAGAGTGCTCCTTAGAATCAAGATCTGAGAGTTTGTTTTGCTTACGTTGGACACATCATCAGGAAAGGCCGGCCATTATATTTGGTAAAGCAGGGGTCAGTGAAAACAAGAGATACCCTCCTTGAGTTGCATTGATTTAATAGCTGCATCAGTGGACTCAGACTGAAGCAATTGTGAGCATGGCGCAGGACCAGTGGGGTTTTATTCTGTTATACATACGGTTGCCATGAGTCAGAACTGGCTCCATGTCCATTAATAACCATTAACAACAGCTTGTTCAAGTTAAATACTTGGTTGACAAAAACCAAGATCCTTATTTACAGAAAATATAAACAGAAACAACCAAATAGAATTTAAGTCAAACTCGTTGTTTGTTGCCATCAAGGAGATT